GAATGTTAGCGAAGTAGTATATGCACATGTGTATATATATTATATATAATATATATTTATATTAAAATATATAGATATGCTTTTTAAATTAAAAAAAAAGAGAAGTTAAGCAAATGCATATTATTGCCACAGTGCATATTTAGAAACTCAGGCACATAGAAAACAGCCCTAAGCAGTGGTTAATGCCTGATGAGTGCCGATGGCCGGGTTCATCCCCAGAGTTGAGAGAAGTGAGCATCCCTGTAGACACTGTCTTCCATTAAGGAATACAGGAAAGCAGGACGTTTTGCCTCAACAATTGCCAGGTCATTTAATTAAAGTAGTAACATAATTTCTTCAGTAAGTTAACACCTTGTGTGTCCAGACTCTTGTCATTTAGCCAAGCAGTTCATGCTGTAACCTAGACTGTGGGTAATCATTGACAAATTGTTGCCCTTTGGTCCTGCCCCCCGCCCCACCTTTCCCCTGCATTCCCTCCCTCCCTCCTCCCTCCCTCCCTCCCTCCCTCCTTCCTTCCCTCCCTCCCTCCCTCCCCCTCCTCCTCCCTTCCTCCCTCCCCCTCCCCTCCCCTCCCCTCCCTCCTTTTTCTCCCTCCCCTCCCCTCCCCTCCCCTCCCTCCTCCCTTTCTTCCTTCCCTCTCTTCCCTCCCTCCCTCCCTCCCTCCCTCCCTCTTTCTTTCTTCCTTCCTTCCTTTCTTTCTTTCTTTTCTTTCTTTCTTTCCTCCCTCCCTCCCTCCCCCTCCCCTGCTCTCCCCTGCCCTCCCCTGCTCTCCCCTGCCCTCCCCTCCCCTCCCCTCCTCCTCTCCTCTCCTCTCCTCTCCTCTCCTCTCCTCTCCTCTCCTCTCCTCCCTCTTCTCCCCTCCTCTCCTCTCCTCTCCTCTTCTCTTCTCTTCTCTTCTCTTCTCTTTCCTCTTGAAAGAGTTACAGAGAGGCAGAGGCAGGGGGAGAGAGAGAGAAAGAGAAAGTCTGTCTGCTGGTTCACTCCCCAAATGGATGCACAGCCGGAGCTGCACTGATCTGGAGCCAGGAGCTTCTTCCAGGTCTCCCACACGGGTGCAGGGCTCCAAGGGCTTGGGCCATCCTTCACTGCTTTTCCAGGCCATAGCAGAGAGCGGGATTGGAATTGGAGCAGCTGGGACTCATATGGGATGCAGGCACTGCAGGTGGCGGCTTTACCAGCTAAGCCATAACGCCAGCCCTAAAGCAGTGTTTTTCTTCTTTAAATATTTTGTTTATTTATTTATTTGTTTATTTATGTATGTATGTATTTGGGGGCTAGAGTAAGGGAGTGGGAGAGACAGAGAGAAAGATCTTCCATCCCCTGGTTCACTCCCGAAATGGCCACAACAGCCAGAGCTGGGCTGATCCAAAGCCAGGAACCAGGAGCTACTTCTGGGCTTCCCACCTGGTGCAGGGGCCCAAGCACTTGGGCCATCTTCCACTGCTTTCCCAGGCACATTAGCAGGGAGCTGGATAGGAAGTGGAGTAGCTGGTCTCAAACTGCACTCATGTAGGATGCTGGCGCTGCAGGTGGCAGGACTAGCCCTAAAGCAGTGTTTTTCAGCTTGGCTATACATCAGAATTATCTGGGGGAAAGGGTGAAAATGTACATTATTGATCTGGGTTCTGTAAATTTGGGTCTCATTTTAGACAGCTTTTAACAGCTTGCCAAATGGTTTTGCTGCACCTGCACCTAGTTCTAGGAAGGGCTGTTTCAAGGCAGCTTCTCAGACTTTAATGAGCACATGAATCACATGCAGATTTTGAAAAAACTACAGATTCTAATTTTTAAGATTTATTTTATTCATTTAAAAGGTAGAGTTATAGAGAGTGGGAGATATGCAGAAAGATCTTCCATCTACTGGGCCAGATCAAAGCCAGGAACCTGGAACTTTATCTGGGTCTCCCGTGTGAGTGGCAGGGCCCCAAGTCCTGGGGCTGTCTTCTGCTGCTTCTCCAGGTGCATTAGCAGGGAGCTGGATGGGAAGTGTAGAGGCTGGGACTGCAACTAGTATTCAGAAGGGATGCAGGTGTCTCAGGCTGAGGCTTACACCCCTGAGCCACAATACCATCCTCAAACTTGAATCTTTGGCTATAATACAATTTTGTGTTCATGTAAGACCATTAGCAGTTACTAGAAGCAGCATTGTTTTATTGGTTTAAATGCTATTGTAGTTACTTAGATAGCCTGCCCATTTTTTTCTTTTAAAATACTATAACGAAAATGTATGGATGAGGACCAGTGCTGTGGCGTAGAGGATAAAGTCACCGCCTGCAGTGCCGGTATCCCATATGGGCGTCAGTTCGAGTCCCCACTGATCCATCCGATCCAGCTCTCTGCTGTGGCCTGGGAAGGTAGTGGAGGATGGCCCAAGCGCATGAGCCCCAGCACCCGCTGTGGGAGACTCGGAAGAACCTCCTGGCTCCTGGCTTCGGATCGGTGTAACTGCAGCCTTTGTGGCCAATTGGGGAGTGAACCAGCGATGGAAGACCTCTCTCTCTTTGCCTTTCCTCCTCTCTCTCTCTAACTCTTTCAAATAAATAAATAAATCTTTAAAAAAAAATACAGCAAAATAACATATTTGGATAAAAATACATGGATAAATGAAATATTTTTTAAAATATTAAAAAGCTTGCTTTTTCCCTGTCCCTAATTCTCTCCAGAAGCACTACTTTTAGAAGATTCTTAATGGGGGTGGCATTGTGGAGTAACAGGTTAAGCTTCCACCTATGATGTCATGGCCTGCAACACTGGTATCCCATATGGGTGCCAGTTTGGTCTTGGCTTCTCCACTTCCAGTCCAGCTCCCTGCTAATGGCCTGAGAAAGCAGCCAAGGATGGCCCAAGTTCATGGGTCCCTGCCACTGACCTGGGAGGCCCAGATGGAACCCCAGGCTCCTGGCTTCAACCTGGCCCAGCCCTGGCCATTGTGTCCATTTGGGGAGTGAACCAGCAGATGGAAGATCTTTCTCTCTCTCTGCCTCTCTCTGTCTGTAACTTTGCCTTTCAAATAAATAAAAATTTTAGAAATGATTCTTACATGACCTATTAGACATATATAGATATACTTTATCACTGTCTGCATATTCTTTTTTTCTTATAGTTTCTTTAGTCAAATGGCATCATTTGGTTTATTGTTCAGTTTATACCTAATATATTTGCAAGATTGTTTCATGTTAGCACATCTGAAATTTACCTTATTTTCAACTGCTAGATTTTATTCTGTTGTATACATACATCATAGCTGATTTAACTGTTGCTTTATATTTAGTTTAAAAAGGCAAATAAAACACACAGAATTCCAGCTTAAATTTATTCAAAAGACTGAGAGATAGAGATCTTCTCTTCGCTGTTCACACCCCAGATGTCAAAGCCAGGAGCTGGACTCGGTCCAGGTCTCCCACATGGGTGGAAGGGATGTCTCCCAGGGTCTGCATCAGCAGGACGCTGGAGTTAGGAATGGAGCTGGGTTTCCAGCCTGCAGGCTCTAGTGTGGGATGTGTGTTCCAGGCAGTGTCTTCAGCTGCTTTGCCAAGTGTCCACTCCTGAGCTTTTATAAATTATTAAGTCTTTTTGTATTTTCTTAAATGCATATGTGAGTAAATCTGTTAGATAAGTCCCAGGAAGTTGGGATTGCTGAGTCAAAAAGATACGTATGCATTCAGATAGATTTCCCTTTTTATTTTTTTCTTTTTGGCCAAATCACTTTCTAAAAATTTGAACCGATTTATATGTCCCAAAAATGTATGAGTGAACTGCCCAGTATTTAATATTAACAGTGTGAGAAGTGCTCTCATTATTCAGCGTGTGTAGAAGCATGATTTGGGTAGCTGTTTTGTGGTTTCTAGCTGGGCTGCAGAGGCTGGGCCTAATCCAGGTCGCTCAGGTGGGTGGCAGGAGTCCAGGTACCCCCGCCGTACTGCTGCCTTCCAGGGGCTGCGCTGTCAGCAAGCTGGAGTGGAATGAGGAGCTAGAGGCGGGGATTGAGCCCGGGCACGCTCTGATGTGCCTTGTGTCTTTTTTTTTTTTTTTTTTTAAAGATGTACTTACTTATTTGAAAGTTAGAGTTACACAGAGAGAGGAGGAGAGGCAGAGAGAGAGAGAGAGAGGTCTTCCATCCGCTGGTTCACTTCCCAGTTGGCTGCCACAGCTGCGGTTACGCCGATCCTAGTCATCTGGGGGAGTGAACCAGTGGATGGCAGCTTTCTCTCTGTGTCTCTTTCTCTGCCTCAGATAAATAATAAAACTGAAAAATACAAAAACTCACCTTTTAATTTCAGTTTTCGTTTTTCAGGAACTTTTGACGTGCCCTCCCTCATAAGTGTGTAACAAATTTAGCTCTCGAATGATCCATTTATATACATACATGCATGTGCTGGCCATTGCCTCTCACATTGGAGAACAGGTGCCTCAGAGTTGCCCACCTGACCATTGAGAACTGTGATCTGTAGCTTGTTTCCTGGTGAGCCGCTCTTGTTTTTCTCTGGTACCGGAACCTTTCCTCTCTCCTCCTTCGTCCTTCCTGCTGCGCTTTCTGTTTCCGCCCTGAGCCCAAGGGACTTCTTGGGAAGTTCTTCTGGCAGCTGCGAAAGGGGCTCCGCGCTGCGGACAGGCCCCTCTGTGTCGCAGCTGTCACGTGTGAGCTGTCGCTTCCTCAGCCCGTGCCACTTATCTTATGCATAGATTTTTTTTCTCGTTTATATTGTCAGATCTTTCACAAATGCACTGTTACTTTTAAAAAGCATAAACTAGTTAATCCTTCTAGGTAATTAAGAGTTGATTATAATTCAGGTTTTTTTTAAACTTCTGCTTTGGAGTCTGTTGGGAAACTTTGGATTTAAGTTTTCTATACACTTTAAAATTGGAGATAAATCATTGCTTCTTGGTATTGAGAATTTAATTAGAGTAATAGAAGTGTGCTTACCTATATTTCGAGGTACATGTTCAAATAGGAAAAGCCAGAGAACCCTTGGTAGAAGGACGTAATGCACTGACTGATTTATAATGCTGCCATTTCTTCATTTACAGGTAGGCGGAAACCAAGAGCACACCGGCCCCGTTCTCCAATATTGGAAGAAAAAGATATCCCGCCCCTTGAATTTCCCAAGTCCTCTGAGGATTTAATGGTGCCTAATGAGCATATAATGAATGTTATTGCCATTTACGAGGTACTGCGGAACTTTGGCACTGTGCTAAGGTTGTCTCCTTTTCGCTTTGAGGACTTCTGTGCAGCCCTGGTGAGCCAAGAGCAGTGCACGCTCATGGCTGAGATGCACGTCGTGCTTCTGAAAGCAGTTCTGCGCGAAGAAGACACTTCCAACACCACCTTTGGGCCTGCTGACCTGAAAGACAGTGTGAATTCCACGCTGTATTTCATAGACGGGATGACGTGGCCTGAGGTGCTGCGGGTGTACTGTGAGAGCGATAAGGAGTACCATCACGTGCTTCCCTACCAGGAGGCGGAGGACTACCCCTACGGACCAGTCGAGAACAAGATCAAAGTCCTGCAGTTCTTAGTTGACCAGTTTCTTACGACAAATATGCTCGGGAGAACTGATGTCTGAAGGAGTGATCCAGTATGATGACCATTGTAGGGTTTGCCACAAACTTGGGGATTTGCTCTGCTGCGAGACGTGCTCTGCAGTATACCATTTGGAATGCGTGAAGCCGCCTCTTGAGGAGGTGCCAGAGGACGAGTGGCAGTGTGAAGTCTGTGTAGCACACAAGGTGCCTGGTGTGACTGACTGTGTTGCTGAAATCCAAAAAAACAAACCGTACATTCGACATGAGCCCATTGGATATGACCGCAGTCGGAGGAAATACTGGTTCTTAAACCGAAGACTCATAATGTAGTCCATCTGGTTCTGAATTTGTGTATATATTTAATTAACACCCGTCCTCTTATGGTTGATGTTACGGAGCTGTGCTGTCGAGGTGGTATAGACCGTTACGAATTAACAGTGAGCTGTGTAATCGCTGGCTTGCAGGAATATCTGCACTAAAGCGTTTTTGTAGGTGTGAAGACAGCGCGTCTGAAAGAAGCGAAGAGTGCACTCTGGCTCTGGTGACCTAGGACAAGGAAGCCGGGCATCGCTGGGGCCCTCCTGGGCCGGGCTCCCACAGAGCCGCTCTCCCCCCCTCTCTCGGGCCTTTAGCTTCTCTGCATTTAACAGAGCGTCCTGAAGCTGTCTTACAACAACCAAAAACCCAGGAGGCTGTCTGAGGAAAGCTCAGTCCTGCCTGCTGGTTGCAGCCTTCTAGAAGACTCCCCGCTGACTCGGGCTCAGTATCTGGCTTCTGTGTGCCCGGGGTTTCAGGAAGCTCCTCTGGGCAGGCCAGTGGTGAGGTCAGGAGACAGAGTGGGAAAACTCAGGGTTCCCCTCTGTCTGCGTGGTGGCAGGGTGTAGTGTGGCCTGAGCACTGGATACTTGTAGAGACCTGGATTTTCCGGGTGCTGGGGTGAAAGGAGCAGCGGAGCAGGGCGTGGAGTCCGGGAGATGAGACTTTCATCAGCGTGGCTGTCAAGAAATCTGAATCTTGCTCTATCCCGGGCTTCTGTGCACAGGAGTGGTTTGGACTTAGCTGGAAGCCTGTGCTGTTTCTCTGCTTCTCGGGTCTGCAGTTCGCTAGTGTTAACGCCCTCTTGTGGCTGGTTTTCATGCAGTGCCTTGATTTGGAAACATCTCTTGGTCGCTTCCTCTTCACTTTCCCTGTTTTGTTTGTCTTGAGCTCTTCTTTCTTTTTCTTTTTCTTCTTCTTTTTTTTTTTTTTTTTTTTGGACAGGCAGAGTGGACAGTGAGAGAAAGACACAGAGAGAAAGGTCTTCCTTTGCCGTTGGTTCACCCTCCAATGGCCGCAGTGGCTGGTGCACTGCACTGATCTGAAGGCAGGAGCCAGGTGCTTCTCCTGGTCTCCCATGGGGTGCAGGTCCCAAGCACTTGGGCCATCCTCTACTGCACTCCCTGGCCACAGCAGAGAACTGGTCTGGAAGAGGGGCAACCGGGACTAGAACCCGGTGTGCCGGCGCCGCAGGTGGAGGATTAGCCTATTGAGCCACGGCGCCGGGGTTGAGCTCTTATTTCAATAAACACTGATCGCTGAACTTCTGTTTTAGTCTTCTGATTTTCTTACCTTTTCTCCTCAGTTTTCCTTGGGGAGGGAGAGTGTGTGTATGTGTTGCTGGTGTTTCTGTGAGATCCCCTTATCTTATTTGGTCTTCCAGCTGTACCATTTAGTTTTTCCTTTCTGGTACCTTAGTTTTTCTAAGAGCTCTTTTGTTAGTTTTTCCTCCCATGGGCATCCTCAGGAATTATATTAGTAATGTTTTTTCCCCATCTGTTTCTGTTAAGTTGCTGGTGCTTTATTTATTATTTGTTTTTTAAAATAAGTGTCACTTTTTTTAAAGATTTATTTATTTGAGAAGCAGAGTTAAAGAGAGACACAGAGATGGTTCTTCTATCTGCTTGTTCACTTCCCAGGTGGCCATAGCAGCTGGAGCTGGGCCAACGTGAGTGCAAGGGCCCAAGCAGTTGGGCCATCTTTCACTGCTTCCCCAGGCCATTAGCAGGGTGCTGGATTGGAAGTGGAGCAGCTGGGACTTGAACCAGTGCCCATATTGGATGCTGGTGCTGCAGGTGGAGGCTTGACCTAATACACCACAGCCCTGGCCCCAACTTGCTACTTCTTGGTGTCTGTTGCGGTCTCTCCCATCCTCAGATGATTATCCCTTTCTGTTCCTGATTATCTTTGTGGAACTACAGTTGGAACTCTGAGCAAGTAGGGGTGCCTTAGCAATTCTGAGTTTAACTGTGTTATTGAGGAATCCCTGATGTCAGTGTCTGTAGCTCTTTACAACTGGTGAAGAGGCCCAGAGGGACCTTTTCCTGTGACCTTGGGACATTCGGGTCTAGCTCGTAGTGTTCTCGTGGCTTTGTGGTGTGGCTGTGTGCAGTGCACATAGTATTCTCCGAGTGTGGTGGTAGTTAAAGCCCCTGTTTTCTGGACGGCACCTTTGTTCACAGCTGAGTCTCTAGGAGCTCTTGGTCCAGAGATTCTCATTTTTATTTCCTCCAGGGACTAAGCCCACACTGGTGTGTGGCTCACAGGGAGCGAGTCTGGGGCGTGCTGCGCCTCTCTGCCAGTGCCTTTTGAGGATTGTGAGTGTGAATTAGGTTGGTTCTCAACTTCATCCTTTTGGCTTGAAATTGGGCTTTCTTGGCTCTGCCGAAGCAGTAATCACTTGTCCATCTGCTTTCCTGCTTTCACAATTTTTTCTGTTTCCTATTTTCCCTTGCGAGTTTGTGTCTTTAAAAATATTTCTTTAACATAGTTTCAAGAGAGTTTCAGGAGAGAGCAAAATTAGATCTGTCACCTTAACCCAGAAAGCGATGTGAAAAACAATAAAGTCTTTTTTAAAAGATTTATTTTTACTATTTATCTGAAAGTCAGAGTTACACAGAGAGAGGCAGAGAGAGAGAGAGAGAGAGCAAGAGAGAGAGAGATCTTCCATCTGCTGGTTCACTCCCCAGTTGGCCGCAAGGGCTGGAGCTGCGCCGATCCAAAGCCAGGAGCCAGGAGCTTCTTCCAAGTCTCCCAGGCGGGTGCAGGGGCCAAAGACTTGCACCATCTTCTACTGCTTTCCCAGACCATGGCAGAGAGCTGGATAGGAAGTGGAGCAGCTGGGACTCGAACCGGTGCCCATATGGGATGTTGGCACTGCAGGCGGTGGCCTTACTTGCTACGCCACAGCACCGACCCCACAATATATAAAGTCTTAAGTGTACATTTTATGTCTGGGTTTTGATCAGTTATTTTAAAAAATATGATTTTTTTTTCTTCCATTAATCTCTCAAATGTCTGGTCATAGTGTTCATTGTGCAACATTTTTTGGCATCTTACTTTCCAAGTGGTAGCCAGAAACCTTTGTGGCAAGGTCGTTACAAATGGTGAGAGAAATGTCAGTACATTTTGATTTGCGTGCAAAGCTGCATTGTGACAGTTCCGTCACTGCCTGCCTGAGAGCCTGGTGCCTGTGCTCTCTGTAGACATTGGGCAGTGAACAGGCCAGGCTCCCTCTGCCTCAGATGAAAGGAACTGTGCACACAGGAGGAAGGGAAACTTGGTCATGCTCTCGTTTTCAGGCTGTCCTGCCCAGTCCCGCCCCTTCTCCGCCTTTTGGGTATTCCTTCCCACTGCCTCTTTCCCTGGCTGCCCCTCATGGCTAGAGAGACCACGGTGGGTTTTGTCCATGTCCAGATAAACCTTGACATCCTTGAGGCCTACTGCACAGTAACCAGTGGTCTGGACATAGAGCTAGTCTGCAGTGGTTTAGTAATAACAGCCAGGGGCAACATTTATTGAGCACTTAATGTATGCTTCACAGTATCCTAAGCATTTTATGTGTCTTTTTGGACAGTCCTTTCAACTGCCCAATAATTTAGGTGCTATTTTGTCTGCATTTTGTAGGTGAAGACACGAGAGATTAGCAAGGTTAAATAATTTGCCCTTGGATTTGTCAAGAGACTCTGGCTTTTAGGAGTGGGACATAGGATTTTTTCTGAAAGTTTTTAAGAATATTTTCAATACTGATTTGTTTTCTGCAGTCTGTAGTTTCTTGGAAAGACCAAAACTTTCACTGGTCTAGCATTTTAAACCAGTGCTTATAACTGGATAAGAGATCCTATAATGGTTTTTGTTAAATTTGTACTGTGTGTTTCTGAGAACTTTTGATATTTGAAATATAAAAGTATTTTTAGAAAATGTAAATGAAATCAAGTGGCATTCCACCCAAGTTCTGCTTCCTGATATTTTGGAACCAATATATAAAACAATACCCAGGGACGGCTGCTTCAGAGTCTGTACTGCTTAGCCTGTGATTGGAAAAGTGCAAACCTTGGAAACCATGTGACTCAAAGACCTTGGGAAGTTATCTTTTTAAGCACCTAGTGAATAAATTTTTGGTACATTATTGATAGTCTACTTTTTTAAATTGTACAGATTCATTGTTATGTTTAGAAATACAGTTAATTGGCAGACGCCGCAGCTCACTAGGCTAGTCCTCCACCTGCGGCGCCAGCACACCGGGTTCTAGTCCCGGTCGGGGCGCCGGATTCTGTCCCGGTTGCCCCTCTTCCAGGCCACCTCTCTGCTATGGCCAGGGAGTGCAGTGGAGGATGGCCCAGGTGCTTGGGCCCTGCACCCCATGGGAGACCAGGAAAGCACCTGGATCCTGGCTCCTGCCATCGGATCAGCGCGGTGCGCCGGCTGCAGCGGCGGCCATTAGGGTGAACCAACGGCAAAAGGAAGACCTTTCTCTCTCTGTCTCTCTCTCTCACTGTCCACTCTGCCTGTCAAAAATAAAAAAAATAAAAAAATAAAAAAAAAAAAACCAGAAATACAGTTAATTGGCAGACGCCGCAGCTCACTAGGCTAGTCCTCCGCCTGCGGCGCCAGCACACTGGGTTCTAGTCCCGGCCAGGGTGCCGGATTCTGTCCCGGTTGCTCCTCTTCCAGTCCAGCTCTCTGCTGTGGCCCGGGAGTACAGTGGAGGATGGCCCAAATGCTTGGGCCCTGCACCCTCATAGGAGACCAGGAGAAGCACCTGGCTCCTGGCTTCGGATCAGCGCGGTGCGCCAGCCGCGGCGGCCATTGGGGGGTGAACCAACGGCAAAAGGAAGACCTTTCTCTCTGTCTCTCTCTCACTGTCCACTCTGCCTGTCAAAAAAAAAAAAAGAGAGAGAGTTACTTAAATTTTTTAAAAAAGATTTATTTATTTATTTACTTGAGAGGCATAGTTACAGACAGAGAGAGGGAGAGATAGAGAGAGGTCTTTTACCCGCTGGTTCACTCT